TACAAGAGAATGGATTTAGCAGGTGCGTGACACAGTCATACTATCTATTTGAGACACTGTATTTCGCCAGCAGATTTCATCTTTCTTGGAATCCAACAATCCAAAAACAATCATTTGAAATAAACTAGACAGGTAAAGCTGCCACTTGTCACCCCTGATCTGAAATCCGTTGGTTTTCTCGACTGAAACCTGACAAAATTATTTTGGGCCCCTGTGACTCAATCATTCGCTCATAATAAAGAGAGTTGGGTATAATAATAAATGATCGTTCAGCGGTAGCATCCTTTCGGTACCTAGCTGCCATGCCACCCGAAGGAAGCGCGAGGGCTGGGATACTGTCAGGTTATCCAAGCCTAGACAGGAGAAGTTGAGAGACAGAGGTCGGGTTTGAACCATGGACCATCCGTTCAGTAAATTCGCACTCTAACCACTTGGGCCATCTCGACCAAGAAAGTTGGATGGGCGAACAGAATCCACCAAGTGGCCCTCGGTTTCAGTCAGACGATTGATTTTACCACAACATACTAACTTTTGGTCTACTGTCGTTGGCTAACCGGGTGATGTCTTAGAGTTCCTCCGTCAAACTTGAGAGCACCATGAAAAGTGCATTAAGATGAACCATGACCCAAAACAGATTGGTGGTCAACTGAGAGGTGTTCAACAGAAGTGCCCAGAGAACAGAACAACTGTTGTTTCCATGACCTTCCAACCGGGCGAGTAAAGCGCAAGGTAAATTTTCGTAACCATACAAAATGTTCCCAGTTTTATCACTTGCTCACCTATACAACATTAGAGTAAATGAGCCTATTTGATGAGCCCCAAGAAGGGCGAAACCAGCCATCGGCTGTCGAGGAGTTTTTAGCAACCTTATGGGTAGTTTCTTTTATGAGCCGGAAAACAGTTTATCGTTTGCCCGGTCTCATTTTAGTCAACTTGGTATTTGTCCAACGTGTCTGAAAAGATCTAGATGGTGTCGACTAAATTGAGTTAGGTTAAACTAACACCGGGGGCACGTAGCATGATGCATACGTGACTCTGAGCTATGCAACCACCCTATTGATCCTGAAACGTGTCCACTCCCCTGTGAGAGCTGGATTGATTCAGTTTTCATAGGGTTACCATGGTGATCGGTGGTGTGAAAATCACTGGCCATTGGATGGGCGTGATCGAACGTCAGGATTTATCACTAGTTGCTTGTCTGAGCTCCAAAATATGGTTAATCTTAAGGTATGATACAGAATTTACTGTCAGGCTGCAAGTATACGCACCACCTGCTTCCACAACACTAAATGTGACCACTTTTTAAGCACCAAACGCATCTGAGAAAGACCAAGTGACGTACAACCAGACATAAGAGGGCCGCAAGCTATATCCGTTGACGGGAGTATGATATTATCAAATCGAGAGTGACAGTACGGTGATGGGAAATCGTTGAAGTTCAAGGAGAGACATGGGAAGACTGAAAAATGCAAAAAGGGGGAATATTGCCCGACATTTTTGCTATTTCCACCAACGTTTTGATTTCGTGGAACTTGGGAACAGGTAGTGCCGCAGGATACCTCTGAATAGACAGACAACCCACAACAGAGATTCGTCCCGTTCAGGGGCCCACCAGGTTTCCGGTCCCAGCATTCTAAAGAACAATGATGTGGGAAACGATTCAAAACCTCGATAAAAATGTTGGTCTCGACTGGGTTTCGAATCAGTTGAATCCAGCTGATTCTCTCGTTTATAGTGGTCCGCTTCAACTGAATGTGCTGCACCAGACTCTCTCATGTTTCACTTGGTAGATATTCGATATATTGCTATCCATAAGATGAAGCGGATCATTAAAAACCAGAAACCTAACTGCCAAAACGAAATCAGTAAGAAAATGAGAGCATTTGTCAAAATTTGTTCAAGTTTGATTCAAGCAGAACTTAAGTTTGGCCGAAACACGAACGATAGTGTTACTTGGCACCCGAAAAGTATTCACTAAGCTTGGGAGTTCAGAAAACAGCGTATTACAATGAGTCAAGGTTTACTCGTTTTTCGGGTTGATGATGACATATACTATTCCCTCTAAAATCCCAACAAAGCTCTGTCCTTACCTAATGAAGCAACTAAAGACCAACGAAGCAATACGAAGGTTTGTTGACTCATACGGTTGGTACTCACACTTCTTGATTTAAAAGAACTGTTGAACTATCAGTAATACAACTCTCCTGACCCAGACTTAAGGAATCATTTTTCATAAATCTTGGTTTTCAAATTATAAATTATTTCTCTCCAACTAGTATGTCTGGTTCCACCACGGGGGAACTATTTTTCTTTACGTCCGTGGCCGTTTTCTGATGAGTCCACTCATCAAAACATTAAACTTTCCCATTCAAACATGAAGTCTGCTCCTCGAGTCACTTCTCTAAAGTGATGTATCTGTGCACAGTTATTTCGCAGCTGAAAAAATGCTGATTAAAAACACTACTCACTCTAACTAGGATTTTTCTCTTGTCCTATTTTTCCGACGCCCTTAAAAAATTTGCCAGTAGTTTCTAGTTTACGGATATCTTGTTCCTCTATCAGTTCCGATAGGCTATCCCGGATGTGAGCTGCACCGTAAACCCAGTGCATTTGGACAGTGGGGTTTTTTGTTGTTTTCAAGAAATGACCACCTGGGGTGCGTGTTACAGCGACGATACAACATTTGGGTTTATTGGTCTTTCGAGAAAGGCGCGGGGGGGGGGGGAGAGTGCTATTTGGGAGTTGATATTTTGATACACAAATAAAACGCGTGCCATCGGAAACACGATGAAGTTTGTACCAAATAAGTTGCAAGTTTAATTACTTGGGCGATAAAGTTACTAAATCTGGGGACGATCTGATAGCATAGTCCTCACCGTAGGACTTGCTTGTTTTCTCGAAGGCATTTTTGAACAGGAAATATAGGCAAAATTCAGCACGAGATGGCTCAAGTGGTTAGAGCGCAAATCTACTGACCGGAAGGTCCGTGGTTCGAACCCGACCTCTGCCTCTCGACTTCTCCTGTCTCCTGGCTTGGGCAACCTGACAGTATCCCAGCCCTCGTGCTTCCTTCAAGTGGCATGGCAGCTAGGCACCGAAAGGGCACTACAGCTGAACGATAGGCGACATTTCGTGTCTCTTGAAGACTTTGCTCGACAATTTTGAATGACATTCAGCCGAATCATAATTTTACTGTGTGCTTTCGAAGGGGTTGTCCAATGATATGCAAGAATTTATGGGAAGGCATTGACCTCCGTCATGAGAACTTTGGTCACATTATGCAATGCGTAAAACGTATAATAACATATGTATATATATTGTGCATGCATACATATTATAGTACATACATATAATGTATTATATATTGCATTATATATTATATATATTACGGACGACCGTCTTTTCAATGAACAATCTAATCGAATATGATGGCGAAACTAGTTTTAGCAATACTCCGTTAGGTCACACAAAAAGCTTATCAGAATGGGCAGCAGAGCCCTCGATAGCTGACTTGTTTTCGTTTTGCATCCCGGAACCTTCTTTAGTTGGCAGTTGACTGTTTTCAAACCGCAGCGTGATGTGACACCGACCCACCAGCGACTCATTTGTCATCTGTGGCGCAGTTTACTTGAACTATCTGATAAGTTTGGCAGTGGAAATATTCCAGACAGTTGTGGTCTTGTATAGAGGAGAATGTCGGTAGCTCAGGTAGCGTAGATGGTCGTTGGCTTGTTCGCTGAGCTGGGCAATTTGGTTGCCCAGCACAACCACTAACCCAGCGTTACGCACAACTACGCACTGGTGATGTCACCTCGATTGGTGATGAAACGTTTGCAACCCAATTGCCAAATTGCCAAGCTCAGCGAACAAGCCAACGAACAGTTGTGGTCACATGAAACGTGCACTGTCGCGAAAAATGACTATCTTTAATGTGGTACCAGCCTAACCTAATAATGTTAGATCGTTTCCTAAACGCACATGTGCGTTTGTATACTCTTTCGTGATTTTGCGAGTTTATGGGTATATAACCTTCCTGAACATTCCCGAGATTGACTAGGCTGGTGATTCCCAACAAGTCTAAAATGTTAACCAGTTAGAAAGGAGAGAGATCCCAATTGGTACGCAAACATCGTATCTGAGATAACCTCACTGGAAGAGCCAGTCAAGGTCCTCACCACACGGAGGAGATCATCCATTTTTCATTGCAAACCATTAAGAACTGCAAGCATACCGCCTTCCGAACCAGAAATACGGGTATACAACCATTGAAAGTACCTCCCGATAGGAACGTTCAAAGTTGTCGATTCATTTAATTTGGTTGACTATCTCGATCGATTTTTCAGCCTACCGCACACCGGATGTTTTGAGATGTCACGTTGTCTCAACATGCACTGGAGGGAACGTAGCTCTGAAATTGAAAGAAGCAGGATTCACGGTTACTCAGTACCATTCTGGAATCACCCAGAAAAAGTCTATGCGCCGAAGATAGTACCCAAATTCCGGAGTTCACTGAGCTTGGTTCCGTGCACAATTAGTCAGTTGTGAGAGACTTTGCCCGTCATCAACTTTTAAAGTGTCCGAGGCCTATTGCCAACTTTCGTCTAAATGGGAATAGCTGGTGAGGGAACAGCAAACCTTCAGCTGAACATTTAATGCTTACAAGAAGTAGCAATCAAAATATTGATTCCAAAAGCGTTTGTGATCATTATTAAGGCGTCAGGTGGACCAGGCGGAATAGCTCCCACAGTTTGGTACTGACAAATTCACATTAGAAAGTATCATTTTTGTGGATCAGGGACCAACGTCATTCGGCACTTTAAATGTTTTCATTGGCTCATCATCATCATCATATTATCGTTTAAAGGGCATTACAACAAACATAAAAGTACATGTAAGCGATGGATGTAGGAGAATATTGGAAAAAGAGAAGCGTGGTTTGTCTAATTGGACGGATGGTAAACAGCGGTCCGTAGAGGGTTTGACCAGTTTAGGAATCCCAGTGGCTTACGATTTTATTTAGGTCTTGATTCACTTGACTGAAAATCAGTTAGTGCTCTGAATAGATAAGATTTTTTAACGGAGCAACAAAAACTAATTACCCAGAAATGATATCGTTTTTTACATTAGTTAATTTGTTGAGTGAAGGTTTTTTTACAAGAGAATTCAGTAACAAATGTGATTGATGTTGAAACTCTATTTATCCAATTATAGGCGAACATCGTCGCTCAGGCGGACACGGTCATCATCATCGCAGTTCACATCGACATTCATCCGAAGCACGTCCACACACCTTCAGTGAATTCAGCTCACATAGCGAAGGTGGTATTGCAGGCGGTGGTGGAGGTGGAGCAGGTGGATTATCAGGCGGTGAAGGTCACGGCCACTCGTTCGGTGGGCACGATCACGGTGCTGCCACTGCCATGGATGCCACTTTTGTGTGGAAGTTGAGCAAGTTAGGTCGCATCGGTTCCTCGCGTCTGCGGTTTGACGATGATTTTGCCGATCGGCTCAATTATCAATACACTGGAGTTCTCATGTTTCTATTCATTGGACTCATAGGGATTCGGCAATATGTTGGTAAGTACTGATCGGGAGTGGAGCATTAACTATTTCGATCGATTGCTTTTGACCTTCATTTTTCATGTATCACGATGTGACTGCTTGGGAGTCAACTTTCCTCTTCATTACAGATATTCGGTTTGAAAGAAAAGTTGGGGCCACCACACAAGCCCACGTGACTTGGGATAAACAACTTTTTGAACTTGGACACGCTTACTTGAGTAGTGGTGATGGCACTTAATCTGTTCGCCGAGCTTGGCATTTGGCTTGCAAACGTTTCGTCCCCAATCGGCTGACGGTGCCTCCTCGATCAACTGCCATCTGATCAACCACCAGTAAACACACCCGAGCTGCCTATATTTCGACAAATTTACTTGAGTAGTGTTTTAACGAAGGGTATGTCCAGCTGGGCCTTCAGTAATTTGGTGGCTGCCGAACTAACAGAGCGCGAGAAAAGTGAAGCGTGTGGGAGGTTATCTACTTTCTGGTGTGCGATGACCCCAGATTCTGTGAGCAGCCTGACCCTACATCCCAAAGCTTGGAAGTAGGCCCGAAGGCTGGAATTACGCTGATAACTTGCAACATTCAGTGGATGCCTACTAGTATTCGCTGAAAATACTGGAAAACATGGTCACAAATATATCAGCGTCAAAAAGCTTGGAAGACACTTCGAAAGTGTGTCAGCCAATTTCAACAATCGTTGTCGTCCTTGAAAGCAAAACCTTTCTACCGGGGGTAGGCGTTAGAGGGCTTGGACAAGAAGATTTAGCGTCCAACCCTTGTCCAATGTTCGGCGGTTTGAATCGACTGAAAACCAGTGTTATTTTTTCTTGGGAATAATCAGAGTATCTACCAATCAATCTGCAGGAAAACTCGTTTTAATAGCTGTTAGAATAGATGACTGTTATTGTCTTGCTTCGTATGAGTTGATGGAGTTCTTTATAGATCTACTGAGGTTTAACTAAAATCCTCATAAGCGAAGTAGGCACTGAAATGGGTATGGACGAGCTTGGTGGAAGCTCAGCCTTGTACAGGACGGAAACTCGGGGACTGCGCCAACCGACGAGCCCCAAAAAGGGCGAAACCGGTCATGGCTGTCGAACAGTTTTCAGCAACCTTGTGAGTAATGTCCTTTATGAAAATATACTGTGATATCTCGAATATGGTGCCAACTGAATCATGAGGCAGCCTGTAGCAAGCACATTCAGTTGCAGAATATCATAAACACCAGAGATTCAGTTGAGTCTCTCGTGGAAATCAAATTGATTTGCAAGTGAATGTATTTCTCTATAACTTGGTTTTATCTTTTTAGGCTTTGATTTTACCGCGTTCGCTTTCGTACAATGTATAAAGGAACGATTACAAAAGGCGATTTGCTTCTGTCGTGGCTACATGCAAGCATACTGTGGTTGTTTGAAACTCCATGCAGGGGTTTTATCTGCAAGTTCCGAGTGTGCTTTAATAGACTCCTTGACCCGAGGCCTGCTACGAGTTGAGTCTGCCTTGGTTTGGTGCCCTCGAAGACATACGCTTTGTCGATCATTGTAACTCGAATTACCGAGCGGTTTCTCCGCCTGTGGTCTGAGTTCACCCCAGCAGGTGGTACCATGATCACAGGGGAGGCGGTTTGCAGCATACTAGAGTCACTAAGGTTATTGTGTGTGACAAGGGTTGTCCTAGATACTCTGAAAAAAAGATGTTCAGACTGAGGTGGCTGTTGATCTGGCCTGAATCCTCTGAAACCATTCCACCTACCTCTGTGCTCAGTCCCCTGGTCTTACACCTTCTCAGGTTATTTGGTCCCACAGGTTGGTGGCCATACTTCGGTGTCGATCGGCACAGCGAAGCATACAGCAAAAACTCTGGAACGATAGCCAATCAGCAAGCGAGAACCACGCGCATAGTATACGTGAAAATATCAAATGAACGATTAGAGAATGACAGAACAGTTCCACTAAACTAAGCTTCGGTGAAGCAGAGCTGGATACACAAGAACGAGATATTCGGGATGACAAATAGGTGGTCAAAGGCTCGGGACCTAAAGGCAAATGCCTTGAGTTGGTTCTTTCTAGAGTTTTCATCTCCCCGGGTTTCATCTGTACAAAGGATGAATGAAGATGGCTGTCACACCTGATAAAGACATCCTGCTTTAAACCTTGCCGACTCGGGTTCTTGTTACGATACGGAGGAGCTCATTTAGACAGCTTGGTGACAAAAGGCACAGGATACTGCGCGTTCGTGCTTTGTTGAATCACCTGTGAACTAAAGACCGTTGTTTAAATGCACTCGTAGCGTGATTTATTTGCAGCACGTCTTCGGAAACAGAACAGACTCTTTGATTAAAAAAAGCTCGGAACAATATAGAAAAGCAATCAGAACCATTGTGCGTTTATATTCGAACGAATAATACGTGAATGAATCGAGATTTTGTATAGCATGTGGATCCGCTGTTTGTTCAACTGTTCTGGTCTTTTTGTTGGCACCAATAAGAGTGCATGCACATTACTTCACAAGGTACCATATCTCATCTTTAGGGAGCAAAACCGTAGTACCGCTGGCCAAATGGCAGTTATGGTAGCTTTGATGAACAAATCCGGAAGTCTTGTCAAACTGCCGTCGTATAACATAGAATGAGCAACAAAATCGTTGCCTAGGTAACCTGATAAAAACTGACAAACATACCTGTGATATCCGGACGAGATACAGTATTGTATAGTCCCAACTGGTTTTTCTGTTGTTTGGGATAGCTAATGTACTAAGCTCAGGTGCGTATTTTCGTTCTACTAAGCCAATTCGACTATAGTACTAATGGAAGCATGGGGTTCGATTTCACATCAATGATCGAAGTTGAAATTCGTATGGTTCGGTATTGGTGTAAGTCCCAAAAGAGGTTAGGATTGATAATGACAGTGACGGCAAGAATATAAAGAATGAGAGTGCCGAGGTTTTGCTTTTATCTCTCATCAGCGAGACAAGTAAATCTGGTATTTGAACCTTATACATTAGCTGCGGTGATATATACCGATAGGACCTGAGACGAATGCATCTCAGGTGTATAATCAATTGACCGATGGCCTACAAGCTGAGAGCCAAAAGGCTGCCTTATTGATTAACAGTAGACAAACAAATGGCCCAAGCACAGTCTTTAGAATTGTACCACTACCTTTAAACTGTCAATTTCTAAGAGTAAGGAGGGTTGTGTTAGAGATTCTACCGGAAGATCAGTTTGGATAGCCATCCGACCATAGCAGACCTCTTATTGTACACAGCTTCCTTTGTAACACATCAATCAAGCATATCTTGTGAGCCGGACATGTGACCACGTATCCCCTCTTTTTTCCAGACAACAACTGCATAAGTTGGTTGTTTTCTTTTGCGTGATATCCCACGCTTCAGTGTGCTATCTTGTAGGCGAGTAAGCAAAACATTCAGCGGTGGCATTCGGTCGCACACCGCTCTTTCATCGTGAATTCAAATTCAGAATGCGCACTGTTGATTGACAAAATATCTGCACCAACAAAACGAGATCACCCACGTTTTACCGCTTGTGATCCGGCGTACCGGTGGTGTTTGTAGCTGGTCACCAAAGTCCACCAAGGTCATGAATAGTGCATCTGGTTGGTGGCGATCTCTTGATAAAACCACATTCAAACCTGCCTAAAATCTCGAGAAATACACTCACTTGCAGATCAACTGGGTTTTCACGAGAGACTCAACTGAATCTCTCGTTTATGATAGTCTACAACTGATTGTGCTGCACACAGACAGCCTCATGTTTCAGCTGGAACGATATTCGAGATATCGCAGTATATTTTTATAAAGGAAACTACTCACAAGGTTGCTGTCGAAGAATTTTCAGCAACCTTGTGAGTAGATGCATAAAATCTCGTCGAAAAAATATTAACAATAAAAGTACAGCGTCAACTGTCTTCCAAGGTGGGGACAGACGACAAAGTTTTACTGTATGTCTCATGTAAGTGGCCAAAAATGGTTAATTCTCTGATGTAAACGAACACCGATGAATGACAGTGAAGTATGCTGTGAAGATATCAACTTATCTTCCATGATTGCATCTTCGCTAGCAAATTGTTACTTAGACTCATCAGCATGGCGGGCGCACAGCAAACTAAGTGCTTTCAAGTTCACCTTTCAAGTTCCTGTGCCTTAAACCTTTATCAATCTGTTGTGCATCTCTCGAGATTGGTGGAAATCATGTTGAGATCCATCTCATTCAAGAAATTGTCCCCCTGTCTTGACACAGTCATTCTAGTGATTCCACACCAGAAGGGATAGCAGTGAGCTTGAGTCCTGTATATATATATATATATATA